CATGTGAATATGACTGAAAAATTTCATTTTTTTCTGAAAAGGTGGTGTCTATTTACTTGGGACCACGCGGTGTACATGTAAAAAAACGTTCTCAAAAATGGAGTCACTGCTTGATAGCCAATAGATTTTGGTATGTGTAACTTACAGTAACATTCTTACAACGAATCGATACTATATTATTCTAAAACAGAAAAACAAGTAGATCATTTGAAAGTTGTTTATAGGTGTCGAAGTCCACATATTCTGTCATATTTCCTTGATTAATTTGATGTCTGTTTCTTACTCCCTGTAAGTTACTGACCACATAATTGGAATAAATCACTCGCTCTTTGTAAAATACATAGGAAACCTCCATCAGTAACTACTGGATTAATTGCGGTATCGATGGAGTTTTTGTGTGACATTTTATCTTATTATCTTTGTTTGTTATGAATGTCGCGCAAAGCTACACGAGGGCTATCTGCGCTAGCCGTCCCTAACTTAGCAGTGAAAAACTAGAGGGAAGGCAGCTAGTCATCACCACCCACCGCCAACTCTTGGGCTACTCTTTTAGCAACGAATAATGGGATTGACTGTCACATAACGCTCCCACGGCTGAAAGGGCGAGCATGTTTGGTGGGACGGGGATTGGAACCCGCGACCCTCAGATTGCGAGTCAAGCGCCCTAACCACCTGGTCATGCCGGGCCTTCTTATTATGGACCCTGTGACTAACAAAGTCATGGACTCACAAGCAACAGAAAAAATATGTTAAAACCAATTATATGAATGCAATCGATAGTTCTAGGGTTAAACTAAGATCACCACCAACCTTAAAACCCGTCAAATCAGTATGCATTTCTCCAGTGGAAAAGTATATTAATTAGGGGGGATGAGATATATCATGGAGCACGTCTTACAATTAGTTTATTATTCAGTTATCTTGCAGGTATTGCTTTCCGAAGTTCAACGTTTTAGTAATACAGTAATTTTAGCAGTTGTCTTAAGAATTCAAGATACTGTAGTGACGTATATTTTATAAACATATTGTTACACAAACGTACACCTGTATAGCTTTA